TCAAAGTAAGCGTAAACATTGGTTAAAACAAAGCTTTAATTTACTCAAAACTGTATTTAATTTAAAGCTCCAAATAAACTGCCAATTCTTCCAATAACTAATCAAGAATAACTGTAAAGAAGAAATCATGCCCTGCGAAATTCATAAAACAAACAATGCTAACACACTTTAGCGTAAAACGGCATTTCATGACCACTCGTTTGAAAACACTATGAAAAACATCTGGTCATTTTAATTGCGACGCTAATGTTTGGATATTATTTAGCTGTTTGTGTTGGAATAGTTGGCCTCTTTTGCATGTTGGTACTGGGTTTCCATAGCATAAAACTTCATGAAATGCTAGCTTCTCGTTAACTTTCAAAGGTTTCGACACCAGCAGCAAACATTTTTTTGGAATCTAACAAGTTTGATTCAAAGAAGGGAAGTATTTCAACAAGGTGTCATATGTAGAGTGTGAGCCAGAAACAATAACGATCTTTTATTTTGTGACCTGGTGGTGGGTTGGTTAGCAGTAAAGTTGCTGAATAGGCATGATATTTTGAAGCGTTGGTAACAAGTTACGACATGTAGTCCAGATGCAACCATATCTAAAGTAACATCAACGCATCGGGGACTCGTACAGATTGTCAACTACGTCGAAGTTTAAATGCTTTCAACTCTGAAGAGAATCTGAGAATATAAAATAAAAGATTTATGAGGGAAAATGGAAGATAAAGAAAAGGAACAGGTTACAAACGACATCGGATCCTTGACAATTCATGGGTTACCAAAAATTGTTTCATCAAAAACGAACATTTCAAGGATTATCTGGCTGGTAACTTGGCTCGGTTATATTTTGCCCTCTCTCGCCCTCGTATTTTCATTGTCAATTTACAGCAACAAAAAGGGCCTTATTACAAGTATTACAGATATGAAGTCTTTCCATTGCATGGTACAAACACCTACCAAACCATGCATCTTAACCTGCGGTTCACATTCTGCCCATACATATTTCTACGAACCCAATGTCTTATATGGCGAATGTATTGGCTACCAATGTTGTTATGCTGATTTTTTTTTCCAAAATAATTGTTAGTTTCATAGACGACAAATAGTTTTTTGGAATGACATGACCATAATACATATGTTGTTACTGTGCTCTGCAGAATTGGTTGATTCGGTCATTATTTGACGCAAAAATCAGAGTTGGTCAAAATTGCTCAGAAAACTTTCGCTTTCCCAGAATTAATCTCATTATCATTCCAAACATTTAAACCCGTGTTCACCTCCTTAACTGCATCAGGGCACGACCTCTACCATTCAGCAGCAATGACACACGCCGCCACGGTGAAAAATATGTCTGCTAAAATATTCTTTACAACGAAGAAATGGTGATGAACATTCACTTATGCGAAAAAAGCCGAGCCACTTACAGAGAGGCGCCAAGGAGTAATTGTACATATACATGACCCAAGGCAACATGTCCCTATTTCTGATGGAATTCCCATCCCAGAAGGATTTCATACACATATTGCCATAAGAAGAAGAATTATAAAACTAAAACCCAGCCCCTACCCGTCGAAATGCGTTCGAGGGGACGAACAAGACAAAGAGAGCATATATCCTGGCAAGAACACTCAAATGCAATGTTACAGTTCGTGCTTCTTCACAAACTGCTATAAACAATGCCCTGGTGTATTGTTAGAGATGCGAGGCTTCATGGGCCCCCCAAAGTACCCAAAAGTGGCTAACTATAGTGACCCACAGTTTCTCGAGTGCATTATGAAATCCATAGTGAAGTATGATTATCAAAAATGCAACTGCAGTCCTATTTGCGAAGAAGAGGCTTACGAGGTTAAAGTGAATCGTAACCCGTGGCCGCAAAGTTGGCAGGCATCTTCAGTGTCACATATCGTCTCGGCAATGAAAGGAGTAGAAAGTGTGAGCCCAGATGAGGTTAGAGAAAGGCTGATGAGGCTCAGTGTCTATTACGATGAGATGGTGGAATCAACATTTGAAGAAAAAGAGATGTATGATCTTTCAGCTTTTACTAGTGACTTAGGGGGGCAAATGGGTTTGTTTTTGGGAGCTTCGTTGTTATCTTTAATTGAAATTTTTGCTCTTTTGTTCAGCTTTCTTAGTAATAAATTTTTTGGCAGCAATAAAGTGAAGACGATTTCGGTGAAATAAAGTTTTGTTGTCCAAACAGATCGAGAAAAACTGTTTTTTCCACGAAGATGCAACATCTAATCTAATGTATTTCATGTTGCTAACGAAGGATACATATTTCCTAAAAGTGTTTGTTGTCTTAATTTACAAGGCTTACTCTGCCGTCCTTCTATCGGGAGGGGTGATATACAGAGCTGAATAATACAGCATCATTCAAACAAATAAGTAATCGGGGGGTCCTTTTTCCCCTTATTAGTTTGGTTTCCTCTTTTTCAGCACCGTCCTTTTTCGGTTTGCTGAAAAAAACACGGAACTTTACTTTGAATCTTGCGCTATATTTGTGGGAAAAAACTTTCTGGTAGAATTGCAATCGATAGCACCCAAGTCTTGTGGCTGGTGAGTTTAAACAAGATTATCCTTTAATTTCTTCCCTTTGCTTTTCGGTATAAACGCAACATAAGATATTTGAAAACTCTTCTAAATCCATAAATCTAAAAAATCCTCTTTCTTCAAGCTTCGTTGAACCGCTATAATATCAAAATTGGCTTGGGAGAAACTACTTTCTTTTTTATAGGAAAAATCTTTATAAAAACATTGAGATTCGATTTTCAGAAAATACAAGAACATGTCCAGCTCGGATGGTAAATTAGAAAAAAGGACGTGCTTTCTCGTTTTAACAAAACAGAGCAGATTTTATCAGCTAATGAATTATGCTTTTAAAAATGCCATGCAAACTGCTATTCAGTTGTCTTCTAAACATGATATAGTATGGAGAAACAGAGAAGAGGAAATAACGGCAAGAGGAAATTTCAAAATTTATTAGTGTCTGTTTCATTTTAAATTTTGTTTTTAGTAAAATTTACGAAATCTACCAAGTAGCAACAATAGTTATTTGGTCATCTATGATTTTAAATTTTGTTGGTTAGTAAGAAGAATAACTTTTGATAAGTATAATATTTGCACCTCTATACTCTATAAGCAATAGACACGGATGGTTTATTTAACAAGAGAGGCTTCAGACTGATTAGTGTAAAGTCTAGAGAGGTTAATAGCGCACTTTCACATAAAAAGTTGTTATTATTCCTGACAGTTGTGGATGGTATCGCATTATATTATTTGTAAGTAAGTTGTTCAGTTAGTCGGATTGAGTCAGCATGATGCTGAGACATTATGAGAATATATCACGTATTACAAATGGCCTTTCTTGATTGTTGTGTTCTCTGCAGTATATGATTCAATAAGTTGAGATTTCAGTGGCTCAAGCCATCTGTGCAAGAGCTAATGGCCAGTCAATAATCACGTGAGTGGAATTACGCTTCTTGATTGGCTAATTTTGATTGACACATGGTTCAAACCACTCGAATCTGTCGATTGCCTTTAAGCATAGACAAAATTAAGTACAAAAGTTTTCAGTAGATAAATTTCAGACAATAAACTTTGGCGAAAAGTATCGGACATATTTTTGACATTTCGGACACACAAATTTTCGAACACATGTTGACCGATGCTTTGGATGTTTCAAGTTATTGACTGATTCAAACAAATTTAAGACTGTTATTGAATTCTTGAGAAACTTACAAGCAACTCTGAGTACTGAAAATATGATAACGTTAAGAAGCTCTAAGAACCAACCTGGCTCAAATTCGTAATCTCCTACCAAAAAAATACGTGCATTGAAACTAGCCACCGCTCGAACAAAGTACCGGTCCGAGATCAAAGATTCTAAAATACAAATAAAAAACTTCTTGCTAACGTTCGTATTTTCGTGACTTGTTTAAGGTGCTCACTCATTTCATCACACATTATTTTTGCAGATGCATTTCAATTTTTATTGCTTTCTTAGACTTTCCAAAAGTCTTCTGGCTCATGTTCAAGTTCTATATCCTTACTGGTGATGGTCTGTGCAATAACTGGTGGTAAGGATTGCTTTCTTAAAGGAAGCTGAAAACAATGAACATTAATTGTATGGACTGACCATTCTATTGCCTTGGAAAAACAAATGTTGTACAAAAAATTTGCAGACCTACCCATGTTTAAAGATTGTAAAAACTATTTAGGTTTTGTTTGGTATTAGGAGTACAGATTCGGATATCACATAGTTTCCAATGCGATCAGCAATGAGCATTCGCAGTTGGTATTATATTCTCACTGTGTAGAAATGCTCAAAGAAACGCCATGTTCTCGAGTCGATACTCAAATTTCAACTAACTATTTACATAACTGACATGTGCCTAAAAAGCATTCATAGGGTGTCCATATCACAATATAACAGTTGGTACAACTTTTTCGGCGCTTCGGGCAATTCCAAGTTTTTCACAATTAAATTTTCGGGCAAATCTTTATCCGAAAGTTTGTCACGCTGAACTAATTTGCAGTCGATGTATGCTTTATGAAAATGTCATATTTAGGTGCGGTATAACAGATGAAAAGAGGACCTTTCCACACGCAACCATTACAGTCCTGCCAAAGGTGTTAGCAGCCCGAACATCAGAGTGAAAAAAAACATTGATGATCAAACAAGGCAATTAGTCATTAAAAAACATGCATTTGATTTGAAATTCGAAACCAACAGGCTGCTTTCCGTATAATCAATCATTAGAGCACCGAAATGTGACGTCATCAAAAATGCATTTTTAAAATTTCGTTATTCTGACCACTTAACCTGAAAGAGCGGCATATAATACCACTCAACACGCAAAATCAGTTAGGTGTGTTCAAAATTGCACGAGAAATGGCCAATCAAAGATTTTAAGTTTGCCAACGAGTACTGGCCTGGTAAATTTAAGTTATGAATCACGACAAAATTACAGATGATTGATGGTGAAAGAGCCTGTGCTTATGTGGCCATATCTCAGCGAATTTATAACACTTTAAACTTATTTTGCAAATTTAGTGGTACTTCATAAAGTCCTTTTGGGATATATCGTCAAAACTGAAGAATTCTAAAAATAGAATTTTGTGACGTCATCACTTCGGTACTCTATAACAACCGTAAATAATGCACGGCGAAATTGATTAAGCAAACGACGCTAATACTCTTTATGTAAAAAGGCATGTCAGGAGCCTTTGCCCAAACATGTTTGAACATATTGTAAAAAAATCTGGTCGTTTTAATTAGGATCCTACTGGTTGGATATTAACGAGCTGTTTGTGTTGGAATAGTTGGACTCTCTCGCATGTTGGTATCGGGCTGTCATAGCAATAAACTTCATGAAATGCTAGCTTCTCGTTAACTTTCAAAGATTCCAGCACCAGCAGCAAACATTATTTTTGGAATCTAACAAGTTTGATTCAAAGAAGGGAAGTATTTCAACAAGGTGTCATATGTAGGGTGTGAACCAGAAACAATAACGATCTTTTATTTTGTGACCTGGTGGTGGGTTGGTTAGCAGTAAAGTTGCTGAATGGGCATGATATTTTGAAGCGTTGGTAACAAGTTACGACATGTAGTCAAGATGCCACCATATCTAAAGTAACATCAACGCATCGGGGACTCGTACAGATTGTCAACTACGTCGAAGTTTAAATGCTTTCAACTCTGAAGAGAATCTGAGAATATAAAATAAAAGGTTTATTAGGGAAAATGGAAGATAAAGAAAAGGAACAGGTTACAAACGACATCGGATCCTTGACAATTCATGGGTTACCAAAAATTGTTTCATCAAAAACGAACATTTCAAGGATTATCTGGCTGGTTATTTGCGTCTCTGCCCTCGTATTTCTTGTCATTACGGCAACCAGAAGCCTTATCAAGTATTACAGATACGAAGTCTTCATTGCAGTGGGTACAAAACCTACCAACCACATGCATCTACCTGCGGTCACATTCTGCCATACAAATTTCTACAACCCAATGCTTTATGGCGAAGAGGCACCAATGTTTCAGCATTTTCCAAAAAATTGCAGTTTCATGGACGACAAATATTTTGTGAATGACATGAACAAACATATGTTTTACTTTGCCTGCAGATTGTTCATCGGCATATTTGACGCAAAAACATCAGGAGTTGGTCAGGAATTGCCAGAATACTTTCGTTTCCCAGAAAAATTCTCATTTCTTCCAAACATTTATCCGTGTGTCACTCTTAACAGGAACTCTACACTTGAGCAAAAAGCCAGCGGTGAAAAATATGGTTTGCAAATGATCCTTTACAACGAAGAAATGGCTGATGAAACATTCACTTATGCGAAAAAAGCCGAGCCACTTACAGAGAGGCGCCAAGGAGTAATTGTGCATATACACGATCCAAAGCAACATGTCCCTATTTCTGATGGAATTCCCATCCCAGAAGGATTTCATACACATGTTGCCATAAGAAGAAGAATTATAAAACTAAAACCCAGCCCCTACCCGTCGAAATGCGTTCGAGGGGACGAACAAGACAAAGAAAGCATATATCCTGGCAAGAACACTCAAATGCAATGTTACAGTTCGTGCTTCTTCACAAACTGCTATAAACAATGCCCTGGTGTATTGTTAGAGATGCGAGGCTTCATGGGTCCCCCAAAGTACCCAAAAGTGGCTAACTACAGCGACCCACAGTTTTGGAAGTGCTTTATCAAATCCATAGCGAAGTATGACTATCGAAAATGCAACTGCAGTCCTATTTGCGAAGAAGAGACTTACGAGGTTAAAGTAAATCGTAACCCGTGGCCGCAAAGTTGGCAGGCATCCTCAGTGTCACATATCGTCTCGGCGATGAAAGGAGTAAAAAGTGTGAGCCCAGATGAGGTTAGAGAAAGGCTGATGAGGCTAAGTGTCTATTACGATGAGATGACGGAAACAACATTTGAAGAAAAAGAGATGTATGATCTTTCAGCTTTTACTAGTGACTTAGGGGGGCAAATGGGTTTGTTTTTGGGAGCTTCGTTATTATCTTTAATTGAAATTTTTGCTCTTTTGTTCAGCTTTCTTGGTAATAAATTTTTTGGCAGCAATAGAGTGAAGGCGTTTTCGGTGAAATAAAGTTTTGTTGTCAAATCGAACTATCGTGTCAAGAACATCCGTTCTCTCCCTCTAAGATGCCAAATCTTATGTATTCTATGTTGCTAAAATTATGAGCTTGTAAACGTTATAATGGTAGAGTAAGCATTCTCTGTATATAAATGCAATGCAAAAAATGCATACTTCTGTTAACCAAACCGTTATTTATTCGATCACAAGCCTTTTCCTTCATAAGCCGCCCTCGATGATAAGCTGCAGCAAATTGGGTTTATAAAAATGTAGGCTACCCTTGATTATAGGCCGCACCAACAAAACCATGAAGAAATACTTGGCTTGGAATGACGGACACAAAAACTGATAAAAACCTGATTATGTACATAAACCACAAAATAGACGGTAGAAGTCCAACCAACAATAATATCGTCCAGATGACGAGTCATTGATATCGTCCAGAAGTATTTCTTCTTCATCCCTTTACAACCCTCACCCTCACCTTCAAGGTTGCAGGAATGCTTGGTAGAACCTGGATAAATAATGTACGCCGTCCTCGTTCATAAGCCGTCCTCGTTTATAAGCCGTCCTCGTTTATAAGCCGTCCTCGTTTATAAGCCGTCCTCGTTTATAAGCCGTCCTCGTTTATAAGCCGTCCGTTTATAAGCCGCACCAAAACGTGCTTAAAATAACTATTAGTCACGTCTTATAATCGATTAAATATGGTAAGCACACACATTGTCGAATTATATCCCTCATGCATATATACATATTCCATTTATAATAATTTAAAGGATATATACTACAAACAACTATAGTAACGAAAGCACGTTTTCATGCCATCGTGTCTCTACTTTTCATTTTATCATTTACACAGGCTAATGTATGTTATATGATATTAAGTAATGTAAAAAAATAGTTGGTTGACCTGCTCTGTGAAAAACCTCAAGTTAACTAATGTACAGAACAAAAATAAAATAAAATCGAAGCTAATCTAATACGATATGGAAAAAGTGTTTAAATTCAGATGAAATTGCCACTCGTGTTGGTATTTTAATAAATAGTGGATCAAATTAGCGAAATTACTCTGTAAAGGATCCTTTTTATTTTGGATTGTAACTCCAAAATGAACACTGTGCCATCACACATAGTTTATCAATTTATATAATATTACAGCTATTCGAAAACACACAGTTAATCGACAGGATTATTCGATTGTAACTCCAAAATTACCCAATTATACAACTGCATTACTCTTTCGAACGCTATTATATTTTTATTCTCTCCGCATTTGGAAGTTGGCAGGATCGATGCTATAATTTAATATGCTCTCTTCTTGCAATTTTTTTTCTTAAAATAAAGCATTTTCTCCCTTCTTTGCGATGCTTTTTTCAACATCTATACTTTCTTGCTCTATTTCATTATCAATACCACAATATATCTGTAATATTGAGAAATTGAAGAAAATATTGCAAATATTTTGGTCTTTTATCTTGTTTTCTCTTACATATACATGCCTAATATATTTTGTTTATGTTGACAAGATGTGATTTGGTTAACGCGTGTACACCAAAATCTTGCTGGGTTTGAGATAGCAGATTGCCCTATAGGCTTAAAAGTTGGAATCACTCTTTGTCTTCATTAAGCATTTTCGAATGTGTACAGATTGATAAAAGTGTTATAAAAGTGGGAAAACATAAATAATTTCAACAAGACACAGATGAACAGCCTCAAAACTGGCATCAACAAAGCAAGATAAGCACAAAACATTAACCCAGGTATAAGATTGGAAAAGCAGAAGTGTGCAAGTAACAACACGTAAATGAAAGGCTTTCAACTGATGGAAACAGTGAAGAAGAAGGAAAAGATGGCGATCATATGCTCAGGACACCAGCAGATATCTTACCGCGTCGAGAACAACGAGAACAAATTAGTTTTAAGACTCCCTGGTGTTAATATACAAAATAATAACTCTGTGATGAAAAATAGAAGATGAACACGACTACACACAGATGGATGGTATCACGTGGATGAGCAATATGGCAGGGTGCTATGGCAACAAAGAAATCAACATAAGCATTGCAACTGCCTACTCAGCAAATTGACAGGAAAGGCACCTTTTCAATAAAATTGATTGTGGAAGGAGAAAGGTTGTATTTCAAAAGCCCCGTGTTGATGCATATTTCGCACAAACAAATGCTAAAACATGATGAAAAAATTATTTAACCGAGCTTGCCTTGTGATTAAATGACGAGTAAATATTGCTTTATGTAAACATAGTTAATTATATTTCAATAAATTATTCATTACTCATTGCTAATTCAGTTTAAAACTCCTTGCTAATTAAACAGTCACAAAGCTATGAGAAAAAGAGAAGCGAAAAGAATTTGCAGCATATTTGTGTTGCCGCTTGAATATGCTCAAAAGGCATTAAAAGCATTTAATCATGGTAGTAAATAGGCCTTCTCTATATACAGGGGGTCATTCGGTTTCGTAAATAGGCCTTCTCTATATATAGGGGGGGGGGGATTCGGTTTCGTAAATAGGCCTTCTATATAGGGGGTCATTTGGTTTTGGTGTGATCGCTGCAATTTCACGTGATATCGGCATCCGTTGTTGACAACTTGCTATTGATGGAAACTGTTATGTTATTCAGTACGAGGTGATTCATGTGACCAGTTCCAGGTCAACCAATAGCATTGCGGCACGAAAACCATGACTCAGCGGATTTGGTTACGTTTGGGCGTACCCTGTCCTTTTATCACGACTGAATGCCTTTAAGCAATTGTTATCTCGAATTAATAAGAACAAACAGGGTCTTTTTCTGGAAGCTTATTTGCTACAAAAACGCGCCATCCTTTCACCCATGCTATTGTCAATCGGTACCTGAATATTAATTTTCGATCACTTTTTGCTTGTCATCATTTGATAAGATATCTTATTCTAAGAAGAGTGTTGGACAGTAACATTGTTCCTTTTCATGCCTTATATTACTCAATATTTGGCTGTGCGAAATACAATGACTGCATCAGTTATCTTTTGTGATGCATCAAAGTTGAAAGATTCCTGCTATAACCTGCTATAAAAGTAAACATTGAGCAAACATTTGCATCGAGAAGACAGACCTCAAAACAACAAAGTGAAAATCACGCGAGACTGTGTTGCTTAATCAAGATACTATCGGCCCTCTTCCTGAGACAGATCATGTGACATTACTCCATTGGTCTTTTATACAAGATGCTTGTTGTCAAATCGTCAGTGAGATTATTTTAGATTGCTCCCACTCCCGTTCAGTCTTGACTATGTGGGCGAAGGTGAAGAACCCGGTTCGGATAATCCGATTAACCTCGTGTCATACACGTCAAGGAGTTTTGTGACTGCATCAACGAATCACGGGTTGCCTAGGGTCAGGGAACGCTCTCCTAAAAATATGACATCAAGCAGAACATGGAACCACTGCAGATTGTTCATGTTCGCCGACCATGTGAAATTATTAGTCCCCTCAAGTCAAAAACAATTGGCCCGCTGTAAATGGGACTGCGTTAAATTATTCAAACTCTTCGATTATGACGAGGTTGGTTCATTAATGAGACAGATACTAACTATGAGGCGAATGGTCCACTTATGAGGTCGATCGAGTGAGACTATGGACGTTTACATTCATAACGAGGCGACTAGCCCATTCGTTGAAGAGATTACTTGAGATTGCTCCAAAGGCAATGCAATGCAAAAACGAAATTCATAAGCATACCTGCACGGCTGGACTGGAAGCTTCTTAAAACTGGTTGTCCTATGCTTGCAGTTTTTACACATGAAAAACCTTTTGACTGCATCCACTTTCACCGTGAAATGACCTTTATCTTTGCAATAACTTGACTGGAATTCATGCATATATTTACACTGAAAGAAGTAAACATTAATTGTAAAACCATTTTGGAAATATGTTGTACTGTTTATGAATAGAGGCCTGTAAAGGTGCAACTGAATCAACGACGACAGTGGGAAGCATCACTGACATCACTAGTTCTAAAGTGAAGATGTCACAAAGATCTAATTCTAAAAAAATTACTTTTGACATGATAGAACACAACTAATACCTCTGAAAGTGCAAAATAATCAAATACGTTAAAGAACCGGTGAAATATGTTAAAGATCCGGCGAAATATGTTAAAGATCCGGTGAAATATGTTAAAGATCCGGTGAAATATGTTAAAGATCCGGTGAAATATGTTAAAGATCCGGTGAAATATGTTAAAGATCCGGTGAAATATGTTAAAGAACCGGTGAAATATGTTAAGATCCGGTGAAATATGTTAAAGATCCGGTGAAATATGGCCCATGGAAAATGTGAAGTTGCTAATCCGGGTGACTGCTATTATGTTAAAAGCCATTATCAGAGACCAAGTTACAGCGATTTGATGGGGAAAGAGTCTGTACTTATGTGGCTCTGCTAATTCGTATCACAGTTAATTGAGTTTCAATATTTAGAGGTATTGCATGATGCTCTTTGAGGTGATTTGGTCCAAATTCATGAATTCATGAAAAAGACTGTTAGGACTTCATCACTAACGAAGCCTTAGATTTTTCATTATTTTCTTGAGAAAGGCTTTCAAGGTTTTGCCCTATAGGCTAGAGAAAGAATGGCAAAGACAGAAAAATAAGAAAATGTAGCAGAAAAATCAGGTAGAGTGGAACATGATTATAGATAAAATTCCGAACTCTAGAAGAAAGCTCTTTATATATTTTATCTTGTTTAACGAATATGACTATAATCTTCGAAACTTACAGCCGGTTCTGCAGGGCAACAAATACTCATGCTTGCTAATTCATTTGTGTGGGAATACTTCTTATTAGATTACTCAGAGTTATGTAGTAAAGGTGAAGGATCCAAATACGAACCAAACAGAAATAAAACCCGCAAAATATTTTTATGTGTTTGGTAATCACAATAAACTATGGCGAAACGAGAATTTTTATGACATTGCTGTCTGGTAGCACTTATCGTTGTAAAGAACAAATAAAATTGATTTGACGCTTGTTTTTAAAACTTACAATTTTACAGCAAACGACTTTGACATCCATTTCAGTGATATTCTTCATCTTTTCTTCGTACATTTCCTTCTTCTCAAGGACGCTAAAATAGGCCGCCTCTCTTTCAGCCTCAGCCTAGATACCGCAAAAAACCAAAGCAACAATGAATTAAACATTAACAACGTCGTGATTAACATAAATACAGAACAATTTTCACCCTGATGAAGTCCGGTATGTCGGGGAAAATATTAAGTATCTTTGGTTTATTTCTGTTCGTTGTTCTCCGGTCTTGGCGCATTGCGCGGTTCCTTACTTTAAATATTTCACCTACAAACTATTATTTTGAAGTCTGTCAAAAAGTAGTGGTACCGTGACCTTTCCAATCTTTTACATATCATAAGATACTCGACCGAAGATTCTAAAGAGTTTTCTAAGGTTTTACTTCGACTTATAATTCGACGTCGACAAAATGAATGATGAAATCGAATGCAATTTCCTAAAAACCAGAACTGAAGGGGAAAACATCCTGACGTTTGTATTACGGAAAAGAACGAAATGATCAATGAATAATAGTTACTGCAATAAGAATCAACAGTATTAGCATCATAACATGCGACATGCTTTTGAGCAACAGCAAGCATTACATTTACAACATTCATGGCTGTATTATCGTTGCCATCCGTACCTAGTACATAGAAGCTAGTATAGATGCTACCCACCCGTTGAACGGTGTCTGCATGGGCAGATTGTGTTTTCAAAATTTTCTTCCCTTCCTCTGATTCTAAATCCAAAACACCTAAAGCATCGTCTAAAATTCCTTTGCGTCTTTTCTTTGAAGGTTCGTGATTCTCTGAATCTGGAAGATAAGTTCAATGAAGTAATACACGGTAAAGAACAAAACAGGGGGCAGACTACAAGCACTATAGAAATTACGGCTGAGGCGGGATAATGAGAGGAAATTCGTTTTCCTTAGTTAAAAAGAAATCTACGTTTCTAATCTAATCTAATTAAAAAGAAATCTAATTAAAAAGAATTCCATGTAAACTGTAAGATTCTTACTTATAAAAAACTGAAAAGACCTTTTTAATTTGATGAATGTATATTTTCTAAGTCCTAAATCGTCTACCCTAAGTAAAAAACAGAACAAGCGTTGATTTTGGGAGAAATTCAACGAAAATAAATAAAATTTTGTTAGTGTCTGAATCAAAATTAACGATGTTATGACTAAAGTTTTAACTTTTTCAAAAATCTACAGAGCGCTTCGCCTGACTTCGTTTGGAAGTTAGTGATCTTCATCCATTCTTCATCTAGGCATCCGTCAGTAGACAAGGATCTTCAGGTCTAGTAGAAAAACATATGAAAGTTTGGGATACATTTGAAGGAACAAACCTTCATCTATGGTGTTCTTTCTGACTCTATCTTTGATCTTTTTTAAAAATTCAGGAGATTTCTTTTTCGCATTCGTCTCCGTTTTCTCCAAATCTAGTTTGATTTTCTGGGCACGAAGAAGTGAAATGGCCTTCATCTGTTTAGAAAAGACGGATCAATAAAATGCTTGACTTCTACTTAAAAAACCTAATACAATGAGACAAAAAATACCAAAAGCATTTGCTTGTTAAAGAGTTAATGCGCGATAATTGCATCAAATTTGACACCATAAGGTGCTGGATCGTTGCTTTCATTGCTTTGGAAAAAGCATGAAATACTAGAATAATCTTGTCCTTAAAGTATAAACGTTGGTCGTCGAAAAATGACCACAGACAACCGGAAATTAGATTCTAGATATTAAAAAAACTTTAATGAGACCATTGTAAGAAAAATTGCTACATGATTCGACAGGCAATACAAGGGCTTTGCATGGCATAAGCCTCTGGAGTAGCTTGAGTAGAAGAACTAAAGGGGCACGTCAAACGGCTATATAAAGATGAAATCTAGGGACAGAGCTAGAGTTAATGCTTTCTTATCTTTGTTTCACTAAAAATCGTTGTTAAACAATATTACCACTAAGCATGAATTTGCTTTGTCTATTAATTTTGCTTTTAACATTTCGGTTTGAAGAACAGTACATCCACTGAAACTTTTTACGTGTATAAACATAATGAAATGAAAAATGAAAAGACAGATGTCAGCCAATATCAATCTAATTTAAGTATCGATACCTTTGCTTCGTTTGGCTTAGCTGGTCTGGGAACAAGTGGCGTTTTCTTCAGGCTTGAGCCAACCGGAACATCACTTGGCGTTCTTGAATTTAATGAATCGCTAACAATATCATCTGAATCACAAAATTCTATAAAATCGTCTTCTTTAGAAACACCTCCAATTACTGGTTTGAATTTTGAATTAAAAGCTGGCGGAGTTGAAAGCCTTGGTTTCAAAGATGCAATTTCGATTTTGGCTGGTTTCAATTTATGTTTCTTGAGTTCTTTTTCCTCTTTGATAAGATCTTTGGCTGATTTTATCTCAACTTTTTCAGCTACAGCACTTTGTTGCTCTGTTTAAATAAAAAAGTACAAGGTATTTGCAGAGTGGGTTTACGGTTAATATAAGCTGGAATATTTGTAAAGTAATGTAGAATAGGATTGGAAATTTGGAAATAAAATTTTAAAATACAGCACAAGCTTTTATATTTTGATCAACATTCGCCTAGAGAGAACGCCTATAAAAATATTTTGCCTTGGGATTCTGGATCCAATCTTGCCAAAGGCTGTTGTATGTAGGCACAACAAATCGATTTTCTTTCTTAAAAGTCCGCAAACAACAAGTTTTGCATATTTTCAAGTAAACACCACACTACGCATATCTCATGATATATAAAAATCCACAATGCAGAGAGGTGTGTAGAAAAAATGAGTACAGAGGGCCAGATTAGGCTACACCGCCTAACGATCCCAGAAAAGTTGGGGTTAAAGCTTGGTCTATACTAGCAACACAAGCACAAGCACAAATGCAAGCAAAGCTCTTAAATGCTCTTTAATCTAATTAGCACCAAGGGTAACATCTACAAAACCCTTCTCCTCACAGCTGCGCGCAAAATGGATAATGCGCAATCCAGGATAATAGGAGAATAATTACAATAAATGAAAAAAATTATCTTCAAAATTAATACCTTCTTCATCTTTCTGCAAAAACTTCTTTAGGTTTCTTGACCCCACGGTGGGCATTCTCAGTCGATCTTTGCTGAAAAAAAATGTTTTCCTTCAGCGAAGTAGCAACAACAGATTGAAAGCAAATTGCTATTAAAAGTTCTTCGAAAACAAATAGGCAGGCGGAATCACATTCAAGGGTTTCGCGAAATTACTGACACCATCTGTGGAGCATAAGGGGATTTGTAATGAATTAGAAACAGCAAAGTCTACACAATTTTTCTCCTGGATTCTAAGGGAAATAAACACTAGCCTTTACAGAATTATAAAGTTCAAAAGCGTGACGTCATAAAAAATCTGTTTTTAGAATTTGTAACTTTTGACCATTGACTCTAAAAAACGTCAAAATCTTTATCATTGGCCGGGATATAATTAAGAAACTTTCGAAGCTTGACAACGGATCAATGTTATTTTGGCTTTTAATAAGCCCCTACTGCTACCGTACATTCTCGAATTGGACCCCTCAATTTGATGATTTTCGCCATCTGTGTTTCCATATGGCGTTTTATTGAATTACCACAACAAATTCATAGTTTTGGTAGTAATTAATTAAATGCTCATAAAGAAAATCCTACTAAAATAAAAGAGGTCTTTCAATAATGTCTTCTTAATGTCAACAATAATTTTATAAGCCCCCCCCTCGTATAAGCCCCCCTCTAATAAACCCCCATCCAAAAATATCAAAAATTAATAAGCCCCAAGGGGGCTTATTCGAAGATTTACGGTATGAGTGATCTTGCACATGCTCTTTCAGGTTTTGTGAAGCAAATTTTAAAATGCTGAAGATATACTTTTGCGACGTCATTACACTAGAACTCTAAAGTATCAAAATATAGGTTGGCTTTATTGCAAATTCACATCTCTGCTAAGGATGGATGTTTTTCAGTAGGGTATTCTTTCAAAGATGTCAAAATATTGAGGCATTGATGTGCCTCCGATCATGCTTTGATTTCGTCTTCCTTAAATGATAAGTTTTCATGTCATTTTATAAAGCCCTTCTTGAACATTTATGCAATCTTTAAGTTTACCAAAAATAGTGCTATAGTAATCACAACCAAAGTAATAAAAATTCGTATATTACAAAACTTACAACTCTTCTGATATTCCATTCACTTCACCTTGATCTTTATCTTTAGAGAGATGGAAACGAGGCTATATTTCTGAACGGCGATATCGATTAAGCATAATTTCAGAAAACAATTTACCATAGAGCGAAAATGCCTTTCTAACGCAAGTTCATGTAATGTCAATGTAGTGAAGACGCGATTAGACATCTTTCAATAACGGACAACCTTCAATAACTGATACCATTCAGAAACAACACCATTCAAAAACAGTTCCCTTACAATAACAGACAACTCCCAATAACAGATACCTCACGATAACAGATAGATATCAACCACGGACATCTAACGATAACGGATAACTCTCAATAACAAAGACCTCTTGATAACAGATACCTCTCGATAACAGATACCTCTCGATAACAGATACCTCTCAATAATAGATACCTCTCAATAACAGATACCTCTCAATAATAGATACCTCTCAATAATAGATACCTCTCAATAACAGATACCTCTCAATAACAGATACCTCTTGATAACAGATACCTCTCGATAACAGATACCTCTCGATAACAGATACCTCTCAATAACAGATACCTCTCAATAACAGATACCTCTCAATAATAGATACCTCTCAATAACAGATACCTCTAAATAACAGATACCTCTCAATAACAGATACCTCTCGATAACAGATACCTCACGAAAACAAATACTTCTCAATAACAGATACCTCTCAATAACAGATACCTCTCAATAACAGATACCTCTCAATAACAGATACTTCTCAATAACAAAGACCTCTCAATAACAGATACCTCTCAATAACAGATACCTCTCAATAACAGATACTTCTCAATAACAAAGACCTCTCAATAACAGATACCTCTCAATAACAGATACCTCTCAATAACAAAGACCTCTCAAATAACAAGATACGCTTCCAATAACAGATACTCTCAATAACAGATATTCTTCAATAACAGAATACCTTCTCAATAATCAGATACTTCTCAATAACAGATACCTCTCAATAATAGATACCTCTGCAATAACAGACTACCTCTCAATTACAGATTACCTCTCAATCCAATACCTCTCAAATAACAAGACTCTCAAAATAACAGATACTTCGCAATAACAGATACCTCTCAATAACAGATACCTCTCAATAATAGATAGCCTCTCAATAATAGAAACTCTCAATAACAGATACCTCTCATATAGAACGCCTCAATACCAATCCTCTGAATAACAATACCTCTGAATAACAGAATCTCTCAATACAGAACTTCCGTAATAACAATACCTCTCAATAATCAAGATACCTCTCAATAACTAGACCGCCCCAATAAACCTCTCAATAACAGATACCTCTCAACATACCACAAACATCCTCTCAAATAACAATACCCTCTCAATAATATACCTCTCAATAACAGATACTCCAAACTAATACCTAATAACAGATCACTCTACAGATACTCAAACAGATAAACCTCTCAATAACAGATACTCTCAATAACAAACTAGATACAACTCTCAATAAGATACCTCAATTAACAGATACTCTCATCAAAACAGATATACCTCTCAAAATAGATACCTCTCAATAACAGATA